AAACTTACTAAAAACAATAACGTCAAAATCATGTGTTAAACTTACTAAGAACAAGAACATCAAAATCATGTGTTAAAACTTACTAAAAACAATAACGTCAAAATCATGTGTTAAACTTACTAAGAACAAGAACATCAAAATCATGTGTTAAAACTTACTAAAAACAATAACGTCAAAATCATGTGTAAAACAACGTTAAAATCACTTGCTGAGACTAACTAAAACAAGAACGTCAAAATCGCGCACTAAATTTACTAAAAAAGCACATCACACTCACGTGCTAGAACTTACTAAAAATAGAACATCAAAATCATGTTAAACTTACTAAAACAACGTTAAAATCACTTGCTGAGACTCACTAAAAACAAGAATGTCAAAATCGCGTGTTGAAACTCACTAAAACAAGAACCTGAAAATCATGTGTTAAACTTACTAAAACAACGTTAAAATCACTTGACTGAGACTCACTAAAACAAGAACGTCAAAATCACGTGTTGAGACTCACTAAAACAAGAACCTCAAAATCATGTGTTAAACTTACTAAAACAATAACGTCAAAATCATGTGTTAAACTTACTAAAACAACGTTAAAATCACTTACTGAGACTCACTAAAAAAAAAGCACAAAATACGAGTTGATAATTATGAAAAACATGAGCATGGAAATCATGTACAATAAAAAAATTAACAAACAGCTGGAAACGTAAGTTTGGCTTAAGTAATTCATACAGTCGTGTTTGTTAAAACAGGGGATTGTTTCAGATAAACCATCATCATATTTTACACAGTGAGTAATATCAACATCGGCTTGCTTTAAAATTTACAGAGATTACATGGGCATTCTCAACTTGCTGTAATTGGTGTATTGGACTTTTAATTAATTCTTTAAGTAATGCCGATGGGATGAGCAGGTAATATTAAACATACACTTACACTAGTCACTTAGGTTAGGCCTATGAAAATTTAGTTTAATTACTTTTCGGAAATGGAAAAGGACATACGTTTCGCAAAGTAGAAGGGGGGGGGGTGTTGTTGATCGGGAGAGAAGTTAATGGATATCAGAGATAAGCCGTCCCCACTGTGACGAGCTCGTGCAGAGAAAGCCTCACCACACCGAGCCAGGATTTCGTGGCGGTTCGTACATCAAAGCTTATCGAGAAACACTTTATTAACTTCCCTGTGCAGAGCGCCGAATCTTTGATCTACATAGCCTCGCCACATGAAACGCTCCGCCTGCTTCACCTGCCACAGAAGCTACCATTGTTACCAGCTGAATAAAGCCAACTAATGAAGATTACACAGCAGCCAACGGCTTGGTGACAAACATGAACTATCTTCTAGATTAACGACACCAATGTATCCCTTTAGATACACAAGGATCCGCTAATGATATTAAAATCCGTAATCACACTGAAAAGCGGCAGCATTCCCACGCGCGATCAGAAAATCTTGATCAAATCAAGTTTGGAAACATGCAATGTTTTAACACACTATTCTCCTTATCAGTAGACCGTAACGGGATTACTTGTTTCAACGTAGGTACAGCACTACTAAAACTGTTTGCTAATTACAATACCTATACATCTAATTATCCATAAAGGAACACGTGACAAGAATTTTACATGAATACATAGTAATATTTAGATCAGCCATTTCTCAACTAAAGACAGCCACATTTTTATGGATAAAACCAGTAATATTACATCTTTTTTCCGTTTTTTTCAACTAATATTTCAGACACTTTAGGTCTTTTTACCAAGAGGACTTGGAACAAATCAGTTCAAACATTTCATGACTCAATACAACATTTTTTTTTCGAAACGAAATTCATTATTTTTCTATAATAAGAAACCCAGAACAATATATACAACAGTTTGGTAAACTTATTTCAATCTAAGATTAACTTTTCTTTCCACATCACTGACTAAAATCCAATCATTACAAAAACCTATCATCATTTAAAGACACTCTTAACGTTCACCACATTCTTATCAATAGCGACACTGAATATTGTTTAACATGCAAGTAGTTGCCAAAAGATGGCGCTGGCTACCATGGGATAATGAAACTTGACAAGAAAGGATGTTGTATTTACGTATGGAACTGGCCAACTTTTGGCATTAATCACAGCCACAATTTAGTTACTTACATTTGTTACCAAGAAATGTCATACATCAAGTGCACTAGACCATAATATCTCCATCTCTACAGAAATTTTGAATCTTCTCATTTAGTTCTTCAAATGGTTTTCCAAAAACTTCCAAAATAGTTCAGGTTGATTAAATTGGGATTTTTGAACTGGCCAATGGAAAATTTGATTTTCTTTGACTCAAACTATTGCTGGACATGGCATTTATTATGTTATGGAGCATTATCATGCTGAAAATGGTATGGTTCTTCTCCTAAAGATTCCACCAATACAAGCCATACACCATTGGTAAGATTATTATCCACGAGATTAGATCAGTGCAAGAAGATCAATATTTCTATGGTCTTTTTCTGCAAGCAGTACAGAATTGGTCTGATCCTACTCCAAAATATTCCATCAATGCAAGCAGTACAGAATTGGTCTGGTCATTCTCTGCAAGATTCCATCAATGGAAGCAGTACAGAATTGGTCTGACCCTACTCCAAAATATTCCATCAATGATGCAAGCAGTACAGAATTGGTCTGACCCTACTCCAAAATATTCCATCAATGATGTAAGCAGTACAGAATTGGTCTGGTCATTCTCTGCAATATTCCATCAATGGAAGCAGTACAGAATTGGTCTGGTCATTCTCTGCACTATTCCATCAACGGAAGCAGTACAGAATTGTTCTGATCCTAGTCCAAAAGATTCCATCAATGCAAGCAGTACAGAATTAGTCTGGTCATTCTCTACACTATTCCATCAATGGAAGCAGTACAGAATTGTTCTGATCCTAGTCCAAAAGATTCCATCAATGCAAGCAGTACAGAATTGGTCTGGTCATTCTCTGCAAGATTCCTTCAATGCAAGCAGTACAACAACAATATGGTCCTTATCAACAATATTCTTTCAGCACAAACAGTACAATATTGGTCTGAGAAAAAATAAAACAAAACACCAACAATGAATAGTGACATTTCATTGCTCCAAGTGATGATTTTCTGTTGTTCTTCACACCAATTTTCAAGAAACCTTAAACCAGTACTTTGCATTTATGGCTGCAGCCAGCATGAGAAACCATAAAGCCAACACTTTGCATTTATGGCTATGAATAGAAAATCACAAGCTGCAGCCTGCCTATAAAATCCCATGACATGGAGATCCTCAAACTGCAGTTTAACATTTCAAAATTTGTATATGGAGTGAGAAGCATCAAGTTTTGGACCACTGAGATGAAACTTTACATTATTAGCCAGATAAAAAAAAAAAATTTGGACCACTGAGATGACACTTTACATTATTAGCCAGATAAAAAAAATTAGTTTTGGACCACTGAGATGACACTTTACATTATTAGCCAGATGAAAAATTTTAGTTTTGGACCATCGAGGTGACACTTTACATTATTAGCCAGATGAAAAATTTTAGTTTTGGACCACTGAGATGACACTTTACATTATTAGCCAGATGAAATATTTTAGTTTTGGACC